GTGACAGCAGGAGAGCAGCCCCCACGGAGCAGTGAGTGCCCGCGTCCCTGGGGTGTGCCCAGGGCTCGCAATGGGGGAGGAGGGAAAAGCCCTTTCCTGATCCGAAAACCAGCAGATCACAAAGGAAACGTTCCTCCCCTGCTGCCCCAGAGGTGCCCACCCCAGGGCTGGTGCCACTGGCCATGTTGCCCAGCTCAGTGTGGGCTGTGGAGTGGCCAGTGTGGCTGAGCTGCCGTGTGCCACACAGCCCGTGTGCCTGTGCTTGTGACGGTGACACCCGTGAATGAATTCAGACCGGCATGCCCCAACAGTGCCACCTTCACCGTGCCAGAGACAGCAGCTTTTGGCAGTGTTGTGGGGCGTGTGGCTGGCACTGACCGCGACTACCCACCGGACAGCCTTGAGTACAGCCTGGAGGGGGAATCCGGCCCAGCACAGCCCTTCTCCATCGACAGCCGCACTGGTGAGCACCTGGCCCCCTCCCCAGCACCCACCACACCCCGTGGCACCCACTGGTGCCCCGCAGCTCACACCACCCCACAGGTGAGATCCGCGTGGTGGGACCCCTGGACTCCCAGCAGCAGAAGAGCTACAGGCTGGTGGTGCGGCTGACAGACACCCGCAACGACCTGGACCCGGCGAAGCGGCACAGCCGCCTGTGCGATGTGTCCGTGCGCCTGCAGGTGCGAGTGTGGCCCCTTGGGTGAACTGCAGGGGTTGTGAGCACTGTGGGTGCCACACCACCACTCCCTGCTCCTGGCAGGCCGTGCCAGACCAGGTGCCAGTGTGCACCCCCGAGGTGCAGGAGCTGCGGATCACGGCTGGGTCTCCAGGCAGCCGGCAGCCTGTCACCCGCCTGGCGTGCCACGGCAGCCCCAACGGTGACACACTGACATACACCATTGTTGGAGGTGAGGAGCAGCCAAACCACGGCACAAACCAACCCTCACCACGGCACGGCACTGAGCAGATCCTCTCATCCAGGCAACGAGGATGGGCGCTTTCGGCTGGAGGGGAACACCGTCGTCTACCTCCCCAATGACCAAGTCGAGCCCCGCACCTTTGTACTACTGGTGGAGGTTTGGGGTGGCTCTGGTGCCCGCCGCCGCAGCACCGTGGTGGCACTGGTGGTGCACGTCACCCCCTGGAGCACTCCAGTGCCACCCAGCACCACCACCCAGCACACGGTGAGCAGAGCCCACTGGCCAGGCAGTGCCCCAGGGTCCACTGAACCCCCCAGCCCTCCCATACCCACTCACTCCACCACCTCTGCAGACGCTGCAGAAGGAGCCGCTGGTTGTCACGCGGACGGAGGTGGTGTGGCACCCACCAGCCTGGTTTGTGGCCGTGCTGACCATCTCTGGCACTCTGCTGCTGGCCACCCTGGGCTGCACGGCCCGGAGCCTGCTGTGCAGGTGAGCCCCAGCCCACAGCACAGCACAGCACGGCACAGGGAGCAAGACCAGGGGCTCATGTCTGCCCTCTGCTCCTCCCACAGGAGCCGGGGCTCTGGCAAACCGTTCCTGGGCAAGAGGTGAGTACTGCGCGGCCAGGGCAGTTATATTGGTAGTCACGGTGTCTTTGCAGGTAGCCAGGGAGACACAGCATGTGAGGGGTGTTTAACACACCCCACATTTGGCTGTGGTCTCTCAGTTGCTCTGCTCAGAGTGAGGGTTCAGCCCTGATGGGAGCCATAGGAGCAAATATAGTGATTTGGTCAGTGGACAGTGATGTTGGTAGCCAGGCTGGGGCACAAACTCTGCAGTGGACAGTGTGGGATGGCACAGTGCTGGTGCTGCTGCCCACTGCAGGGCTGGGTCCCAGCACCAGGGCTGGGTCCCAGCACCAGGGCTGAGGTCAGTGCAGCTCACTAGGGGAGCCCCCATTTGGCAGGGGTGAGCCCCACTTGGCAGGAAAAGCTCCAGGGAGGAGGTGAGCAGGCTGCACACTCCTCCTGAGGATCAATGAGGGTGACAGGCAGCAGAGGACAGAGACAAGGAGACACTAGAGCTGGACCAGCCTGCACAGGGTGTCTGCACAGCAAGGAGGAGACATGCACGAGCATGGGCAGGATAACAGCCACGTCCAGTGGCATAACCACCCTGAGGGGATGCATGGCTGGATCCACGTTCATTGGTGAGATTGGGGACCCAGTGATTGGTGGCACTGGGGCTGTAGTGACCATGAAAGGGAGAAGACTTGGGCACTGGCACCAGGGGGGCTCTGGGGCTGCAGCTCCTCCAGCACAGTGTCCTCTGAGCTCAAACATGTGGAGAAACAAGCAGGTGAGGTGGCAGACCAGATCAGCACCTTCAGGCACTGCTGAAAGGTGCTTGGGGGAGCACAGCCCTGCCACAGTCCCCTTCTGTGCCCGGGGACACATGGACTGGGTAAGGGGATGATCAGGTAAGTGGACAATGGGCTTGACAGGGTGCAGCTGGCAGGGCAAAGCCTGTCTGGCACCCCGCTCCTGACAACATCCCTCGGGGTCAAGGCCAGGGGCCCACCACTGACAGTGTGCCCTCCTCTTGCCCTCTTCCTTCTTGCAGCTCCTGGGATGTGGTGGAGAAGAGCGGGGGCAAGGAGGAACAGGGACACCCACATGCCAACAGCCAGGTAAGCATGTGCCATGGCAGTGAGGGTGGGTGCCCTGCCCAGGAGGCAGGAGGAGCCCTGGGACCCTCAGCACCCTCTCCTGTCTCTCCTCCACACAGGGGCAGTTTGATGGCCGTGCTCAGGACCCACGTGAGTGCCCTGTCCCATGGCCCCACAGCCTTGGGCTGTGTCCCCCAGAGCAGAGGGGTCTGGAGACAAGAGAGATGGGCACCAGACCCCCGGGGCAGTGGCTGAATGCTGCCTCCATCTCAGGCACTGGCAGGGACTATCTCTTCAACAGCGTGACTGGGGCACGGCGCTGGATCTGAGGGGCTTGTCTGGATGAGGCTCCCTGCAACCCACAGCTCCATGTGGGCCGTGCCAGGCACAGCACTGGGCGCTGGCAGACACCTGGTGGGGCCCTCAAGGAGGAGACCCATCCTTTGTGGCTGAACCAACTCCCCATGGGGTGCAGCCAGACCCTGAGCCACCTCAGACAGTGCAGACCTAATAAATGATGTCAGAGATTGCAGGCACTGCTGTGATTGCCGTAGGGAGTGCTGTGGTCAGGCAGTCCCACTGGTGGCTGTCCTGCTGTGGGGGTCATTACTGCCATCTCCAGTCAGGGATGTGGGTGGCACGACTCAGGACAAGGATAGCAGTCACGGCAGTGGAGTTGGCACTGTGAAAGACGTGCTGAGGTCTTTGGCAGGGTCTCCTCTGGTCACAGCAGCATCTCTGTAGCCTGTGGATGTGACCCAGCCGGGGCAGTCTCCCGCAGGGAGGTGATCTGGGGCAAGAAGACTCAATCACGGGTAATTGTGAGAAACTTTTGCCCAGTGTCCCCCTCAAGCTCTTCTTTGCTCCAGGGCTCAGGGGCGCAAGCGGGTTGGACGAGCAGCCGGTCGGCGGAGGGGATGGGTTGATAATTAGAAGGAAAAGTGAATTAGCGTGGGCGCAGGTGAGAGGGACGCTGCAGGAGCTGGGAGCGGCGGGAAGCTTTGAAGGCGCCAGTCAGCGGGAGAGGTGGGAACTTGGCTATTTGAATTTCAAAGGAGGGCGCTACGGGACACCTCCCTGGCAGCTCCCGGGGAAATTAAGCGCTGGCGGGATAAGAGGGGAGACTAATTTGGGAAGTAGGTGGCTAAAAGGAGGGAGGGGGGGCAGAGGCCAGCCGTGAAATTTCACAGTGAGAAGGGTCACCTGTGTGACTCCGCCGGGGGGTCCCCCTCGCCCTGAGACCAAGGGGACCGATGACCGCTGGGGAGTTAAATCCTTTATTGTACCGGAGAGGTGCGTGCTCTGCTGGCGAGACCCGGCTCGGAGTGGCAGCCGGGGGGGGCTCAGGGTGGAGAGCTCAGAGCGGGGGTCTTTGGCGGAGGGGTTCGGGGCTCAGAGCGGGGAGCTCGGAGCCACAGCGCCCGGGACTGCGGGCTCAGCGGGGTCTCCGCCGGGGGTCTGAGCCGCGGGGCGCGGCCGCCCGGCCCGCCCTCCGTGCTCGCGGGTCGCCGCCCATTGGCCGAGCGGCCCCCCTCCAGCAGGCAGTTCCAATGAGGCGGCGGCGGCCGCGCGGCGGGGCGGGGCGCTGGCGGGGGTCACGTGTGGCTAAAACGTGCGCCGCGTCGCGCTGGAAACAGGGGCGGGGCCGCCTGCGCTTGAGGCGAGGGCAACACTCGAACTATCAGCGATGTAGATAAGCACCCGCGGGGCGGGGCTCGGCTCGGCTTGGCGTCGAGGGGCGGCGGGCGGGCCTTGGACGGCGCGGATTGCTATGACGGCCAGCGCCGGCCCGCCTCACCGAGCGCCGCCATCTTCGTTGTTGATTCGCATGGCGGGAGGGCGGCGCTTGGGCTCCGTTCGTCGCTGTCTCGGAGTCCGGCCGGGGGGCAGCGCGGCCCCGGTTGAGCCGCGGCGGGCGGATACAGGGGGCTGAGAGGCGGGGTAGGGGGGTTGGAGCCGGGCGCGCTGCGGGGGGGAGGGAGCGAAAACCGGGCGCGGCCCCCGTTGCGGGAGGGAGAGGGGAAGGGGGTAAAACACAGCTTTCCATGAGGGCGGGCGTGAGGAGGGACGGGACGGGCCGGGGGTGGCAGGGATGCACGAGCGGCCCCCTGAGGTGGGTGCGGGGGGAGCCCGTGTGTCTGGGGTGAGATCCAGCAGTGCCCGAGTGAGGCACGGCCGGGGCGGGGGGCCGGGGCAGGGCAGTGCCCGGCGGGCAGAGCGAGCCTTCCCTCCTTTTGTGCCCTTTCTTCCCTTCCGCAGGAGCTGCGCGCAGGAAGGAGCTCGGGGACCGCGGCGGTAACATGAAACCAACATGGTGAGGAGGCCGGTGGGGCCGGGGGCCCGTCCGCGCTGCCCCCCGGCACGGGAGGGTGGGGGGCCCGGGATCGCTGGGTGCCACCCTGGGTACACCCGGAGCGCAGGTCTGTTCGTGGGTCTGCAGAGCCGGACCGTAACCAGCCGTCCCTGGGGTTTCCAAGGAGGGGTTGGTAGGTGGGACTGACTCCTGTTCATTTTCGAGCTGCTCAGAATTTGAACTGGTCCCAGTCTCCATCCCCCTCCATTTTAAAGCTCGGAATCAGCCTCCGTTTTTCCTCCCAATGATGTGTTTTGGTATGTGCTACCTTTCTCGTTTCAGCCCCGTCTTACTGTGTCTCTGCTCCATCTGCTTTTCCTCCCTTCAGGTTCACCTGGCTTAACTTGGTGTTCAGAGCTTCCAAAGCTGGATTCCACGATTGGCCTTTGCTAATGAAGCGCTGAGTGGTGCTGGAACAGTGTGGGCTTGGGTCTCTGTTCGTTCTTAATGAAATATTTCTGTGAGCAGTAGATCTGTGTAAACTTAGTTGGTAGCTTGTCTCACAAAATAATATGTTGTAATGCCTTGTGAAGGTCTCATCGTAGTGAACTGTCACCTGCAGCTGATATAGGGACATGTGTATATGGTCAGATTTTTGGAGATTTTCTTGGATATTTTTCTTGTTATATGTCACTGAACTAAGACTTTGGTTTCATTTTTACAGAAATCCTATCGAGCTTCAAAGTGTTTTAGAATTAGGTATATCAATTATTAGGTATCGCTGTGCCCTTAAATAGGCCTATTAGGGACATCCTAATCCTGTGTAACAGTTTCTTGTTGTGGAGATTGAGAAGTATTTTTCTGTGGCTGGGTTATTTTAGCACTGATCAAAGGTAAGTGCTTTGTTTTGGAGCTGGAAGGAAAGTGGTAGGTTGTGAAAAGATGAAAATGTGAGCTCTGTAAGGCAAGATAACATTGGGTTGTTCTTTCAAGTGCATCAGACTTGCTTTGTCAATGTTTCAAATCATGCTAATGCAAATTTTTCTTTCTCTTTCTTAGAGGGTGTTTCTTACCCTCCCCAGCTTTTTGAGCACTGCCATTTCCGGGTGCATGGATGAACAGCCTATGCCATCCTGGTTAGAGCCCGTTAGGTGGATCTGAAGTGTCCTTTTCATGGCATTGCCTTTGTTTCCTGTCTGATAAAGACTTTGGGGAGAGCAGGAGAAGTGGTCCTTGGCTCCTTGAGGGGGACGTTTATGTATACAAGGTCCTTACCAGAGGAATCTCTGCTGACCACAGGGGTGGAAAGAGTAGGATATGCTGGTAGTACCCTCTTCTGGACTCTGGTTATTCATTAGGCACCTTGTGGCAGTTTTGTTTGTTTCTTGCATAGAAAAAGAGCAAGTGAGCACGATTATGTGTTGAGATGAGAAGGGGGGACAGTTTTTATGATCTGCTTCTCATTCAGTATGTGGCTTCACAGGCACTTCAGCTCATGTAAGCGTAGACTGCAGCCCACAGGAGGTTCTTGACTTGCTGCTGGGTGCTTGTAAAGGTGGGAATCTGAGTTCCCTCCTTAAAAGTTGATCAAGCTGGAGACAAACTGGCAGTTTTTTTCTCCACAGCTTGGTGTGGGTGCTTAAATGATTTTGCTGGTGCAAGGGAAATGGTGGGAACGTGGGGCTGGTGCTGAAATGGAGTCTTATCCTTGTCCAGAGAAACCAACACTATGAGTGTGTAACAGTGCAGCAGTGTATTTTTCTGTATGTATTTTGTTACAGATAGCTTCAAAGTGCATATTTACATATATTTAAAAATTTATGAAATAGTAGTACCCATGCTTATTTCCTACTTTTGTGAATAGTATCATTGTATGCCTCATCATCAGGTTGACAGTACTGGGCATGTCCTTCCTATAAAAATATTGTAGAAAACAAAAGTAGATGTGCTTTGGGATCCCCTCTCATGACAGATTGTGCAAGTCAAATGACTTGGAAGTTATTCTGTCTTGCATTGCACGTGGTGAGAAGTCAAGGTTATAGTAACAAGCACTCAGAGGTCAAAAAGTACCCAGGCTGGTGTAGTACTTGTGCCCTCAGCCTTCTAAACAAGCATTATGATTTCTTCTTAATCATGCAGTTTTGTGCTCTCCTCATCCCACCCGAGCTGCCTAGTTTGTTTCTTTCCTTCTCTCCTGCACATATGGAGCTCATTCATTTGGGTAAAATTATCACACTCTGAAATGTGACCTTGTTGAGCTTGACTAGTGAGAGATGAGGAGCCCAGTACAAGCTTGGAGCTATTTGTTGACCATCTGCTTACAGGACACAGTGTCTTTGGTTCAGTGGATCACCAGATAATTGTAAAAAGGTTTCCAGATTTCAGTTTTTAGCTGATTTCTCAGTGTCTGAAGGTTGTTGTGACTCTGGTGAGTTCTGGCTGGTACGGTAGGTACGGAGTGGCACTGACTGTGCTTTTCCATTGGGATAAGAAATACAGGTGCTAAGTTTGAAGTTGGATATCTACAGCCCATGTTCCAGAGGAGGTAGAGTTCTTCCATCTGTGATTGAAATACACATACTGAAGCCGTGGAAAATCTGACAGAGGCCTTGCTTACTGCAGTTCACTTCACTTGCTGTCAGTGAATTCCCCCAGTCTGCCCATTGGGAATTGGCTTGTAATGTGTTGGAGATGTGAGCACTGAGTGTTGATGCTGGGATTTATAGTCTCAGAACTCGGTATTGACAGAAGGCTGCAGCCTGATTTGTTTACTCTTGCATTTGACAGTGTCACACTGTCAGTCTTGGTGCTGGACAGGGTTTAGATTTGGACCTGACTTGCAGACTTTGTGTGTGGCAGCCCAGTCAAGCCGTGGCTCTGTGCTTGCTTGCTTATATGTGACTTGCCTAGGAACAACTGCTTTTATTTCTGACTTGCCAGTCTTTGGGAAGGAGTGTGTCAAAAACAAGCCTAGTAAGTACAAAGGGTCCCTAGCGAGCTCTGAAGTGGGTGAGCTGGAGAAAAGGAGCGAAAGAAAAGAAAATGCGGCAGAAACCTCTGCGAGAATCATGTCAAGTATTTGTATGACGTGCTGTAAAGTGAAGGAACCCTTCAGCTGTATGGAGGAGCAGCTAGCAGTCTCCCTCTTTCCTATTCCTGATGTGACAGGAATGCAGAGCAGGATGCTGGCCAGTGTTTAATATCAGGTTTGTTGCTGCTGTCGTAGGGGTGGTGGGGGAGGAAGAGGAAGTGTTTGTGCGTGGCTGCTTGGTTTCTGTTTTGCAGGCATCGCCTGTGCGCGGTGTTGTGCCATTCTGATGTGGCAGCAGCTGTTATTTTTGGCCTTCCCAGTGTGCTGTTCGGGTGGATGTACTTCCTAATAGATGCAGTTCTCTTAATCGGTGTGTTGGGTGCTTGTGCTTCCTATGGATTAGTGCAGATGGTACTGAGGTGCAAGTAATTTGCCATGATTTATTTCTGTAGGCTCATCTGTGTGCATTTTGAGTGGCATTAACTGTGTATAAAAGACAAGCCTCTTTAAGCTTTTATTTTGCATAACCCCATCAGTATGTGGTCAGTGTCATTCACAATGTTTGATCCCCTTCTCTGGGAGTAAAGGAGTAAGCTTTGCTGTTAGAGAGTGCCTCCATCTGTATAATGCTGCCCCTGGTAGTTATAATGGGTGCAGTTGTTTCTGTTGAAAAACAACACAGGCATAGCTGCCATAATTGTATTACTAGAAGATCTGTGTCAACCAAATCTGATAAAAGCAGTGAAAGAGGTTATGAGATGAATGTGCCTGCCCTGGTAGGATGTCACTACACGTGTTTGAGAGCTCTGATAGATAAGCTGTCTCTGATTTAGCTTTTGTAGTTAGAAAGGTTATCTCCTTCACCAGCTGTCCTGCTGCTTTGCCAGACACTACCTCCCTTGTACTGGGGCCTAAGCAGGGCCCGTTCAGCTGCCCTGGTTTAATATACTGTGCTTCAGCCTTTCTTCCTTAATACCATCCGTGCCTTGTGAGCCAGGCCCGGTGAGGAACAGTTGTGCATCCAGCTCTGCTCCACCCGTGGTTGGTGATCTTCAGCTGAGGGTGGCTGAGGCAGCTGGGGACAGTGTGTCCCCTCAGCCCCTCAGTGACACATTTGGTAGAGAACATCTGTCAGAGCCCAGAGCAGTGAGTGAGAGCATTTGCATCCTGAAAGGAACTCGCTGTGAATTCTGGTCCCAGACTTGAGGGAAAACATGCTCTCGAAAGTTCTGAACTGATGAGCAAATGAAGATCTCTATAAAAGCTAATTTAGCACTTGCTAACTCATTTCCATACAACATCTTGCAGGCTGACTTGCTTCTGGGGTCCTACTCCCTCTTGATTGTGAGAGATCGGGTCCATATTCCAGTGACTGCTCAGCCGAAAGAGCTTGGGTGACATCTCTAAGGTAACGTTTTTCTGTTTTGCTCAGAATACATATGCAACCACCTTAAATATCATGCAAAGAGAAATAAGCTGCTTGCCTTTTACCTCTTCCTTTGTAATTTTACCCTTTGAGTAAGGATATGTAAATATGGTTTGTGGGAGTTATGGTCTTACCATTAAGGATACTGCAGGAACACCCAGGTAAGTGTGTTAGCACAGAGTGAAAAGCTCAGTCCTAATCATTCACCAAATCAGTGTCAGTTCTTTGTAATAAGAATTAAACTTCCAAGATTTCAAAACTCACTCATGCTCTAGTAATTCTGGCCATTTAGGTGGCTCATTTGCACTTGAATCACTGTACTATGATTTAAGAACTCTAACATTGTCTGGTTTTTATTTTTCCTTTCTATTGTAAGGTTGGTTTGCTGAAAGTTGATAAGGCTGACTTCATAGTCTTCCAGGCTCAAAGAGGTTACTTTGTGCTGTCCTAAATTTGGAAGAAAGTCTGGCATATCTGTTTTCTCCCAGTTCTTTGTCAACAGAGATAAGACTCAGTAGTAGTAGCTATGGTTTAAGCATGACTGAGGCAGACTCAAATGACATCGTTTTATGGAGGCATGGCATGTTTAAATAGTAGCTGTGTCACACAGATGGTCTTTGTTGGTTTAAAGTGCAACAGGTAATGATCAAAGATGCTGAGCTCCACAACTACCTTCCTGGGGTAGGGAGAGGAAACATGGTGCCCTCTCTTCAGGGGATGCTCCTGTGTCTTTGTCACAGCTGGCTTAAATACTGATCTAAAGGTGGGCTACTTACTGTATAGCTCATATATTCTGCTCTGACATTTCTTTTTTTTCTTCGTATTCTGACCTGCATTTTCCCCATTTTTTTAAACTTATAGAGTGGGTTAATGCAAGATATCACGTGATCTTTAATTTCAATTAACATCATTTGCTGTTGGTATGGAAGTATTGTTAAGCATTTCCGAAAGCGAGTTTAGAAATCTTAGAAAGGGCACAAGAAGATAGGGCTGGCTGTTTGTTCTGTGTCCTTTGACAGTACTGTCTAAGCAGCTTAAGCACGTGTGGGGAGGCAGTCATGATCTCATTACAGCTAACTATAGGCGATAAGCAGCTTTGAACACCAAAATCAGTGCACCAGTGAGTGCAGATGTCAGTGAGTTATTTAAAGCAAGAAGGATTTGGGAGAGAAGCCTGGGGGCTACATAGTCCCGTGTCTTACTCAGTGGCTCAATCAAACCAGAGAGTAACTTCCATGAAATTGCTGGAGCTATTGCAGAAGGTGAGGTGTGGTGCTCTTGCGTTGTTTTGAGTGCTGTTGTGGGTTGTGAATAAAACTGGTGAAGGCTTGGAGCTTTGGAAGGAGCTCACACCACTTGCTGCCTGGTGGAAGGTATATTTCACTTTTCCAGACTCTGGTCTGTGTGCTGTGTGGCAGATCTGAGGAAGATCTGCCTGTTGGATTCATGGGTATTGACTCTCATCCAACAAACATATGGAATAAAAAGAACTTCAGTCCTTTGAGTCTGTCCCAAAAGAATTGTTAAAGCACTCTGAAGCTCAGTTTGTGTGGAAACACTACATGTGCAGGTTTTTTAGATAGTTTCTTAAATACCCCCACGCTTCCCATCATAAAACCTGCATTATGTTAATCTTTAAGATGTGGGTTTTACTTAGATTTAATGTGACACTATACAAAATTATTATAGATCCCCTTACTTTTGCAAATATTGGAATGGTTTGCTTTATTTTCCATTTGAACCAAATATTGTGTGTTTTCTTATGCTGTACAAGTGGCATTGGACATAAACCTTCTTTATGTAATCGAGGTCTTAATACTTCACAGTTCTTACCACAAGTGCTGACCTGAATACACTTATTACAATTTGATGGTAAGCTAAGTCTGAACCAATAAACGTTATCAGACGTGCTTCATGCATCTTTAATTTTTATAGAACTGAGGAAAAACCTCTGTTTTAGTCAGTCTGAAGAAGTATCACTGTTGTGCACCATGCAGAAGTATGAATAGTTTTCAGTTTTCTTCAGGGGCTCTGCACAGTGGTATTTTTTTCCCTGTAATAGCAGCACCTGGGGGGTTCTGTTTTCCCCTTAATTATTCTTAGCTTTAGTTGAATAAGATCAGATATTTCTGTTCCTGTGGTCTGTTCATTCATCATGTATCATTTTTAGCATTGACACTTCCAGTGTATTTCAGCAGCTGAGAATACAGGGAACCTATGGACAGTTTGGTTCACCTGATAACAAAAAACAGTCCTCTTAAAATTCTGCTTTGTAAGTGCAGCTCGACTCAAATATTCTTTGTTAAAATAGTTAAGGGTATCATATCATTCACCAGCCACAAATGTAAACCAAGCTCTTTATTCACTCCGCTTAAAATATCTTCCTAAAACCTGGCATTTAAGGATTACAAGTTAGATTGTGAAGTGTTTCCAGGACTTGTGTTTTTGGAGTTCATCCTATTGTGACATGACAACCAGAAGAAATTTCAAAACCTTTTAAGAATTCTGATAAAGGTCAGTGTCCCTGGGTAGCGAGCTTGGCAGCTTGACTGTTGCATGAGTGCAGAGCACTTTTCTGTTTCAGGTTTCCTGTCATTTGCTGTTTTCTTATGATTATGGGAGAAGAGAACTGTGTGTTATTTCCTGCCCATACTGCTTGTTATTTTGTTTCTTTCAGCCTGAGAGGATACGCTTCTGGCACCTGTTATCACACTGTATTGATCTGGAGGAGAAAATTAAAGGGAAATTTGTTTTCCCTAGCTATAGATGGCCCATGACATATTGTGGCTGTGAGAATACATGTGATTTAGCAGACTGTTTTGTAGGAAAAAAACCCAAAAACCAACCTGCAACGTGGCCTTCCAGCGTCTTTAGAAGAATTGAAAGTGTGAAAACCCAAGGTAGCTTTTATACACTTGACAGAGTCCTGTGATTAAAAACAAACTTGCCATAGTCTGTGTGACTTTCAGAATGAGTGTGTGCTCTGCCTTTTTAGCATATGGGGCAGAAAATGTTTACTTCTTATGTATGTGTAGCTTCTACACTGAATAGTTAGATGCGAATCCATTTGACAATAGATCAGGTTAACAAATTATTGCCTTTTGGCTTTGGCTTTACAGCTCTGTTACATAACCAGTGGCCTCAGTTGTTGTAAGTGGCACTCAAGAAAGCCTGTTGGAAAGAGCTTTGAGATCTACTTCAGCAGCTTAACAATTAGATAAGATATTGGGAATTTGTGACCTGCAGAGTGTTTACAGGGACTTGTTTGCAGCTGCCTCAGTGAACAGGAAGTTAAATATAGGCTTTGTTTGTCTGATCCTTCACTTAATTGGAAAAGGAGGAGTTTCTTGCTTCAAACCCACAGAACAGAGCTGGCTGTGGTAGAGCATTTCAAGGTGCCTGCTGCCCAGTGTCAGCATATAGGGAGAGAAATAATGATTTGATATATTAAGGGCTGCTTTGGAAGGTCCTTGAGAGATAAGTAGGATAAACTGTGTTCATGGACTGCTTCTTTGGCAATCTATGAGCTCCCTTCTCCTTGGGTTTTTCTTTAGCAAAGCCAAAGTCACCTTGAATCCTTTGAAGTGTGAGGTTTGCTAGAAGGCGGCACCAAAGCATGGTTGTGCTGGCTCCTGGTTAGGTAAAATGATCTTGCAGACGTTTTTAAATGCCAGGTTTGGGATTTTGTCCTTCAAAACGTTGTAGCATCTTGCCAAGCTTGAAGCTGTGACTAGCTGGACCAATTCATGTGTCTCCTGAGAAGATAGCCTCAGGTTCAGATTGCCTTTCATTTCCACACGAGGGCCTGGGCCTCTTGTTAATTCTTTGTTCTTTACCTTCCAGAGTATCCTGCAAGCCACAAAACAAGCCCACAGTATTTTAACAGCTTTAAGATTTCTAGTATGAGTGATTGAGGGCCTTGCAGGTTAAGCTGATCCGCAGGAGAGTAACAGGATAACAAAAAGCCCAGATCAAAATCCCTTCCATGACCCTGAGTTGTGTGTCATGTGCGTTTTGCGATATTGGATTTTTTAATGTCACCAGGAATTTGAGAGTATTCTTGTATGAAATTCTCTTTCAGAATTTTACCTAGTTTCAGGTGAAATTACTACCTTAGCTTCTAGTCCCATCAGATACAGCTTCTAGTCCCATCTACTTAATTCTTACTTATTACTAGTTTTAATTTCTTCTTACCTATTACTTAACTTGTTCTTACTTATTACTAGTCTTAGTACACTGTCTTTGTCTGAAATATATTAATGACAACTTTTGCTATTTTCTACTCAAAACTTGAAGACCAAAATGTTGCCCTTTATTCCTGCATTTTTTTATGGCATTGTTTACTTTCTTGCAACACCTGCACTGCATTTTTTTTCTCCCTTAACATAGAGGTCAGTTTTTTCTGTTTCCTTCTTTGTGTTTTTGGTTTGTTTTTTTTAGTGGGTTGACAGTACAAGAGAATGTACTGTATACAAGAAAGTACGAAACAAAGGTACGTCCTCATGGAAAAAAAAAATCACAAGTGTCAAGTTGAGAAGTTATAGCTCGTGTTTTCTTGCCTGTGACCCTTAAGGGTCATGTACTTAGGAAAATTAAACTGATATCAGGGAGGAGGCATGGATTTGCAATGTGATTATGTGGCTTTAACTCCCTGTGGACGTGCTCATAAGGTCGTTCCTGCTACAAGTGCTTGGGACAGCTGCATTAACCAGCATGTACATCCTTACCTAGTGCAGCTCTGCCAGTGGAATCCCTTAATGTAGATACAGTTACAGTGATAAAATGACACTTTTAAATTAAAACTTGTTTTGCTGGGAGTATTGAGAAGGTAGACAGTGATGAGTGCTTTATTTGTCATTGTGACTAGCACATTTTCCAAAGAAAGAAGGAGTAGATGGAAAAGTAGGGGCCCAAAATATGTCTTTTTCAGCTGAATTAATTTTTCCCTCGGCAGTGTAAAGCTTAGAAGGGATTGCAGGGGG